GAGCTTAATGGATTTCAAAAGAAAAAGAAACTAAACTGGACACAAGAAACATCAATGTGTTAGAGAAAAATTTTGGATTCGTTTGTCTAATGAAATAAATAAAGTTACAAGTTGAAATTTTAAAATCAAGAGGTTATTGATATGTAGTATGAATTGTGCAAAGTAAAGTCATGCAATTATATACCTGGGTCAAATGCTATGAATAAAGTAAATTTAGCAGTAGAAACCTTAGTGTGGTACTGAATTGATATTAATCTCTGGTGGGCAACCCCATTAAAGTTAACAGTAAATCAGTTGTTTTGATAATTTTAGTATTATACAAATTCTTATAGCTTGATAAATTACAATAATTTCCAGGACCTGTTAAGATATTCAAAAAGGAAATAATTAACCATTCAGCAGTCCATTTATTCTATACATAGTCAGTAAAAAAAAGCCCTCAGAAAAAATAGCAGAAGATAGGAATAGAAGGAGATATTTAAGTTGAAAAAATGTTCATCTTTGATTTATTATTATATATGTATATAACTAACTGAATTAAACATTTAAATTTCTTGCATAAGTGTCAAAATGTCCATTTTTGAAGTTACTATGTAAAAAAATAATATACTTCATCAGATTTATTCAACTTAAGTAGTGGCCCAAATATATTCTAACTGCATGGTTATATATATATTTGTATATATATATAATCAGTCTGTCCCTCTTCCCACACTCCCACATAGGATCTGGCCTTTAACTTGGATATAAAAATAATGTACTAAGAGGGCTCCCCATTGTCCAATTTCATCTTCAAATGAAATGCTTATGGAATGATTAATTTTGTGTGAAGGGGAACTTAGTAATACTCTGTGAAAAATTTCTAAAAATTATTATTATTTTAATATATTTTTATTGATTTCAGAGAGGGAGAGGGAGAGAGAGATGGAAACATCAATGATGAGAGAGATCATTGATCAGCTGCCTCCTGCATGCCCCAAGCCCGCAACCTGGGCATGTGCCCTTGACCGGAATTGAAACTGGGACCCTTTAGTCCGCAGGCCTACACTCTATCCACTCGCCAAACCAGCTAGGGAAAATATCTAAAAATTATAAAAATATCTGCAGTGCTTTCCATATGTATCTTATATTTTATAACCTGTGACCTGAGTGAAAAAGTTTAGGGAATTAGAAACAAATAAAAGGCAACCACCTCTTATGCTGGACCAAAATTACTGGACATTAAATTCTCCCTGTGGCTACACGGAATACATATTCATAGTGCTCATGTTTCATTACAACCACTATTTACTTCTTGGGATAAATCATCTAGACTAAATAAATATTGGATGTGGGGGCTTTTTAATATCAAATGTAGGTCTAAAAATGTTCTATTGTTATGCTATACCTACAGCTGTGCTACAATTGCTGCTTTTCTGACCACTCTTACTACTATATTTCATACATTAATTCCTACTAAGTGCCAACTGCTGGGAAAGTTCCATGCCGTACCCAAATTCTCATGCCAGTCCCTCAAGGTTGGTATTCGTTCCCTACAGTCTCTGAGAGGTTACGTGACTTGCTCAAGTCACAAAGCCAGTGAGGATGCTCTCCCCACAAAAGCCAAGTTACACACTTGTATCTCTAGTGCAACTAATTAAGGAGAACTTCACAAACGGAAGAAAACAAAAGCTTATAGTCATTCCAAATTAACTTCATGACTCTCAGAAGAAAATAAAATCATTTTCTTATTTTTTCTTTATTACTATGACTCACGTAATTGTTTACCAGATTTTGGAAACGAGCATTTGATCATGCTCAGAGTGATGAGCATTACTTTCCCTGTATGTTCTCTCCACTCCAGTTCTGAAAAAGTGAACTATGTTAGATGTTGGGAAGTGACACAGGGGTTTTGTTTTTGAAGAACATAAAGGATGGCTGCTGAAGAGGTGGTGAAGAAGGACTTCTAACCATGTGCAAAGGCCCACATTTGAGAATGGATCAGGGTGACCAGAAAAGACTGCAGCAAGAGCATTTGGTAGAAAATATCAATAACACCCAGTAAGCAATTTACTTTGGGGCTGAACATTACTAATATGTCTCACTCTCTTCCTAATCAGTACATAAGTTTGTTCAAGTCTCTCATACCTTCAAAGTAATGATGAGAGACTTCAAATCCTCTTTGGCTTTACCTTCAACTAAATTGAAATCAATGCCAGAAGCCTCCTTTTCCCTAAGGCATGACTCTCTGATGTGGGGAATATTAAATTGCAGAGAGAAAAATACCTCTCTTATAGCATTTTTCACTTTCTTTTTAAAAAAATATATTTTATTGATATTTTACAGAGAGGAAGGGAGAAGGATAGAGAGTTAGAAACATCGATGAGAGAGAAACATCGATCAGCTGCCTCCTGCACACTCCCCACTGGGTATGTGCCCGCAACCCAGGTACATGCCCTTGACCGGAATCGAACCCGGGACCCTTGAGTCAGCAGGCCGACGCTCTATCCACTGAGCCAAACCGGTCAGGGCAGCATTTTTCACTTTCAGCAATTGCTTAAGACATGCACTCAATTCAAGCTATTTATATAAACTGTGAGTTACTGTATTTTAATTTCATATGGTCTGAAATAATCTCAAACTTTTGGTATAAAATTTTTACATTTCTTATTCACAAGGTTTACTTGGAAATACATGTTCTAAAATTTCCTGACTTTCAGGCCTTTCAAACCTGCCTTGAGACACGTAACTCCAGCTAGCGTATCTGTTTCGTGAGACCCCTTTAGCTGCCTTCAGACTCAGCAAGTGTAAGACAAACAAGGACTTAAAATGAAGAAGCCAGGGAGCCAGAGCATGGACTAGGACAGTGGTCGGCAAACTGCAGCTCATCAAACTGTGGCTTGGGAGCCACACGCGGCTCTTTGGCTCCTTGAGTGTGGCTCTTCCACAAAATACCGACTTCTGCACATGGGCCACGAAGTTTCAGTCGCACTGTACGTGCGTGCCCGCACGTGGTATTTTGTGGAAGAGCCACACTCAAGGGGCCAAAGAACTGCATGTGGCTCGAGAGCTGCAGTTTGCCGACCACGGGACTAGGAGAATGGTGGAGTTATAAGAGACCTTTGAAATCATTTAATCCAATCTAATTTTCCAGGAGGGGAAGCTCAGGCCCTATGAGGTGAGGTGGAAATACAGGCCCTGTGAGATGAGGTTGCTCAACGTTGCCCAACTAACTGGTTTTATGGTGACCAAAACTTGGGAATTCTGGCAGGCTGATGTCTGCATGTCATGAGCACATTCTGTAAATTACCCTAACGTATTATGAGTATTAAACTGTTCAATAACAATCCATCAAATGCTACAATTATCAATTGTTTTTTTATGAAATACACTGCACCATGGTTTGAGTTTCAGGTATATTCACATATTAAGTTTTATAGTATTCGAAACATATATTTTAAATCTTTGAAGTAGAAAAAAAAACACTTCTTTATTTAAAAATTAGTGGAAACATTGATGAAAAAAAACCTGATATTTGTTGACACCTTAAAAACAGTCTACATATGTTACAGTAGTACATTTAGCTATGTTATGCATTTGGTTTCTTGCATAGTTTCCAAAGTGTTTTAGAAGAGAGCAATAATTTATGTGGAATCAGCTGGAGTTTTAAAAGGTATTTTAAGAAACCACAATCTTCTTTTGCCCTCTTGCATTCCCAAGAGCTCTGACTGGTTAATATTCACCGTTGCTTAAGTCCTCTTAGGATTCAGTTACTGCTAGACTGAATTTAATGAATCCATCAAAATCACAGAATTTTCTTTTGCCTCCTCCAACACCTTGCTTCTCCTTAGTCATGGGAGGAAAATGCTTCTGTGAAGCAGAACACCTGAGAGACTGGGAAGTATGATTGAAATGGTCAGTTGTGGCTCTGTCTCAATCATGTGGCTCTTCTATGCCTAAAGAGGCCACTTGTCTACTAGGAGAACATTCTAGAGTGCTAGACCTTGCATCCATCAACAAATGGGCACACTTCATTCAGAAATGCTGAAAATGTCTCAGCACCCAGAGTTTACTCTTCTGTCTTGGGCTAGGGGTGGGGTGATGAAAGTAGGCATTTTTACTTTATTCCCTAATAACATCCATCATAGGCTCCTTGCTAAATCCTTTGTGAGCCCTGGACATCTCCATTGACACAAGTGATCTTGCAGGTTTTAATAACTGGTCTGGATTTAGCCACCATTCCTGTGGTTAGGTAATTTTTGAGTATAGTGTCATGTTCATGGAGGGAAAACTGAGGAAGCAAGTCTTAAGCCACCTGATGCCACATCCTAATAATATCTTGCCTTTTATGGTGCTTCAGATTTTTCAAAGTGATATATATATACCACTTATTAACAGAAACTGGGCAAGTGGTGTAGGAGGCATAATTCTAGGATGGCCTCCAAGATTTCTGCCTACTGCTACATATGCCCTGAACAATCCCCTCACCTCCGGTGTTGGCAGGACCTGGGAATGGGATGAGATAGTCAGCCCTGTGATTACAGTTAAGACTTCATCTTAGCAGATGAGAGAGGGAGAGAGAGAGAGAGAGAGAGAGAGAGAGAGAGAGAGAGAGAGAGAGAGATTCTCCTGCTGGCCTTGAAGCAGCAATAGCTGTGCTGTAAAAGGGCCAGGTGGTGAGGAAGGCCCTCGCTCAGAGTGCTCCCAGTGGACAGTTAGTAAGGAAACAGGAATCCCACTCTACAGCTGCAAGCACGCAACAGCCAACAACTTGAAAGAGCTTGGAAGTGATTCTCCCTGACTGTGTTCAGATGAGAACATCGTCTGGCTGACACCTCAGACCCTGAGCAGAAGACCCTGCTCAGACCTCTGAGCTACACAACACCTGCAATAATAAATGGGCATTGTTTTGAGCCACTAAGCTTGTGGTAATTTTTGATGCAACAATAGAAAACTAATAAAAGCAACGGCAGACAATGTTACAACCATTTCACCAATAAGAAGACTGGTTCAGAAAGATGACTGATTTGCTTATTTTATTTTGAAAATTCGTGACAGAACTGAAATTCGTACCTTAGACCCTCATTTATATTCTGCATTTTTTCCACAGTACTCCCCACCCTACTGCTCCACACTAATGAATATTATTGATAGAATTTCTTTACCCCTGCCCATAAACAAGATAAATAATGAAAAGTATGATATATTGTTTTACTCCATACAGCTCATCTCAAAGTACAACAATTATTTTATTAAATTCTTACATCAGTTCTTTAGTATAATAAAAAACAATCAAAATTATATTAAGTGTTAAGTTCACAATGTTTTAAAAGAATCTTCAACTAAATGTCAATCTTCATCACTAAACAAACAATATTCTGAATAGTCCAGATCAGGAAATGTGATAGGTAATTCTACCCATTTTTTGTATTGTTTCTTTGTTGCATTACTTTTGAAAGACACTACAAAATTCTTTATTTTGAGACAAGGCAAATCTAGGCCTTTGTGCACCATCATCGTTCCCCAAGCCTGGAAAACAAAAGAGAGAACAAAACAAAAATTAAATTTGCATTAGATTAAGAATTCCGGGGGCGGAAAAATGGCGGAGGCTTAGACGGACGTGTTGGTGCTTTGTCCCGGACCAGATGGGGGCGAGCAGCTGAAACAGGTAACAATCAGCCCGATCAAGCTGGGGAGTTTCAGCTGAGAGACAGTCTGCAGCCAGGAAAGACAGAAAACTCCTAAAAAATGCGGATGGTTAGAGATTGAGGCTGAAACCTCCCTCTGGGCGCCAGCGCAGCGGCGAGACCGCGCCATCTCAGGCAGCGTTTACCGGCATCCAGAGATCGGCTACTAACCCGGCGGCTACTAACCCGGAGGCAACGATTCGCAAACAGCGCGACTGCAAGAGCCAAGGGGAGACCGGCACCCCTCCACGGAAAGGTTAGACTTACCTCAAAGGTGCGGTTCGCAGTTCAGGTTGGAGCGAGGAACAGGCGCGCGGGCGCAGGGGAAAATCTGCGTCCGCCAAAATCCGCGCTCTCCAAAATCCGTGCCCATAGAGGCCAGCGTGTCTCGCAAGAGGGGAGGGCTCCCGCAGGGCTGCTGCCAGAAGGTGACACTATAGATGAGCCCATAGTTAGACTGGATGCAAAGGGGCTGCCTCAGAGTTTCCCTGTTAGCCGGCTACTTGTTGTTGCCGGGGGCTTGAGCGCGCGCAGACACTCCGCGCGGTTCTGGAGGGTGGAACCCTGCGAGTTCGAACAGCTTCCCAGGCTCTTGTTCGCACACTTCCTCTTACTTCTGTGAGTTTGATTGTTGAGCCCAGTGCATGTGAGTGCCCAGCTGGGGTCACTAGCAGAGCTTGTAGGGGAAGATTGTTTTTGGGGAGCCTGGGAAACAGAACTGGGAGTGGCGCCGGGGGAACCACCTCTGGGCGGAGCTGGTTCAGGTACAAAAGGCAGCTCCTGGTCGGAGAGAACTTATAGCCTCGGAGGTCAACCCAGACACACTGCCACCCAGAGGCAGAGCCACGAACTGACTCCTCTGTAAATACAGATAAGGCAATAAGGACTGTGGCTTACAACAAGGAGGAACAGTGTATCAGAGGGAAAGTCAACATTCTCCTGAATTCCGGGCGTGCCAATAAGAAGAGTAGAAGATCTGAAGCACCTGCATTACTGCACATTTTTATTTTTATTTTTTTAAATTACTTTTTCTCCTTTTAACTAAGAAAGAAAACATTTTTTTTTCATTTTTCTTTTTTCTCCATCACCCGATTTTGCCCTTTCAGCTACTACATTTTTATTTTTAACTAGTATTATTACCGCTACCATTTTACCATTTTTTAAAGTGTCATTTTATCTTGTCTTTATTTTATTTTGGGACTAATGTTCTCCATTCTATTTTCATCGTTCCTTTAGCAACATTTTTCTCTACCTCATTTGCCTCTGTGCTAAACAATCTTCCCCACTTTTTCCCTTTTGCTGTCCTGTTTCTCTTACCCTACTCCAGCTTTAGATCTTCCCTATTCTTTTTATCCTCTGTCAAAATTTAACCCTGCTTAAATATCCTATGTCCAATCCCCTGTTCTAAATCCTTATACACCTTTCCCTCATCTTCCTTCACTATCCATTTTTTTTCTCTCTCTTCTTCTTCTTTTCTCTCTCTATTGTTTTATCGTTGTTTGCCTGATTGACGAGTATATTGTTGTTTTTTTTTTGAGTGCTTGTGAGGTTAGACTGCTTATTCTTTTTATTTTCCTGCCGCTCCCTCTCCCCCCCCCCCCGGTTATTTCTGCGCTTCTCTGTCCCCTTGCGTCGATTGATATTATTGGTTGTTTGTAGTTTGTATTCATCTCCAGGAATCTGTTGCTGCAATTTGTTGGTATTAGTGGCGGACCTATAGGAGTTTTCTCCTCACATAAATAGTCTCTCCCCCTTTTACACTTCACTTTCTTTTCTCTCTTACTTTTTTTCTTCTTTCTTTTTTTTTTTTTTTCTCCTCCTCTTTTTCCCCTCCCTTTTCCAATCACATCTTTGCACTCCTTTTTTTCTTTCTTTCTTTTTTCTCTTCTACCTTTTTCTCTTCTTTCCCCCTTATCTCCCAACTCTCTTAGCTCGGGTGGCCACCTTTATTTGGGGTTAGTAATATCGTAAATACAATAGTGTTCAGTGCCTGGTACGTTGTGCCTTGTTGTGTTGTATTTTGTGCCTCTAAATCAACGCAACAGATTCAAGCAACAGCGGCCTCCTGATCACCACACGCTCTGCCTGGGGAACAGTTGCTGCATCTGAAGCCTCCCTCCACCAGCCAGAAGAGCCACCACAACTGTGAACAGCACCCATCAGAGGCCCTGCTATCAACAGAGGAGCCGCTGCTACCACAACCGCCCAAGGAGCAACCACAGACCGAGGAGCCACTGCCACCCAGGGAGCAGCCACTGCCACCCAGGGTCCAGCCACTGAACGATTCAACAACTAGTCATGTCAGTGAGATCAAACATGGGTAGACAAAGAAACCCCCAAAGGAAAGAAAAGGAGGACTCGCCAGAAAAGCAGCTAAGTGAGACAGAGATATGCAACATGACGGAAAAAGAATTCAGAATAAGGTTCCTAGAGTACATGCACCGGATGTTCAAGAAGCAAGAAGAAACAGATGAAAAACTCAACTACGTATGCAAGAAGCTAGAAGAAACAGGTGAAAAAAATCAACAACTTAAGTAAGTCCCAAGAAGAAATGAAGAGCGACATAGCTGCAATAAAAAACACCATTGAAAGTATCAACAGTAGACTGGGAGAAGCGGAGGACCGAATCAGTGAATTAGAAGACAAGGAAGCAAAACACACTCAAACTGTACTGCAAATGGAGAAAAAAATTAAAAGGCAGGAGGAGAGCCTAAGGGAACTTTGGGACAACATGAAACGAAGCAACATACGAATAATAGGGGTTCCAGAACAACAGAAAGATGAACATGGATTAGAAAACCTATTCGAAGAAATAATATCAGAAAACTTCCCTGAGGTGGGGAAGAAAAAAGTCACACAAGCCCAGAGAGTCCCAAACAAGGTGAACCCGAAAAGACCCACACCAAGACATATCATAATTACCATGGCAAATGTTCAGGATAAAGAGAGAATCTTACAGGCTGCAAGAGAGAGGCGGAAAGTAACATACAAGGGATCTCCCATTAGATTATCAAATGATTTCTCAACAGAAACACATCAGGCCAGAAAAGAATGGACGGAAATCTACAAAGTGATGCAAAGCAAAGGACTGAATCCAAGAATACTCTATCCAGCAAGGCTATCATTCAAAATTGAAGGGGAAATAAGAAGCTTCACAGACAAAAAAGGGCTAAGGGAGTTTATCACCACCAAGCCAGCCATGCAAGAAATGCTAAAGGGACTGTTGTAAAAGAAGAAATATCAAGCTCAGAAAGAAAACAGCCACACACACACACAAAAAAGAAATGGCTACAAACAAGTACCTTTCAATAATAACTTTAAATGTAAATGGACTAAATGCTCCAAATAAAAGACACCGAGTGGCTGAATGGATAAAAAAACATGACCCATACATCTGCTGTCTACAAGAGACCCACCTCATTGGAAAGGACTCACACAGACTGAAAGTGAAGGGATGGAAAAATATCTTTCACGCAAATGGAAAGGAAAAGAAAGCTGGGGTAGCAATACTTATATCTGACAAAATACATCTCAAAGTGAAGGCCATAACCAGAGATAAGGAAGGCCACTTCATAATACTAAAGGGATCAATACAACAAGAAGATATAACCCTGGTAAACATATATGCACCCAATGCAGGAGCACCCACATACATAAGAAAACTTCTGGAAGATATCAGGGGAGATATCGACAATAACACAATCATAGTAGGGGACTTTAATACACCACTGACATCACTGGATAAATCCGTTAGACAAACAATCAGCAAAGAAACAGCAATCCTAAATGACTCACTAGATCAGATGGACTTAATTGACATCTTCAGAACACTACACCCCACAGCTGCGGAATATACTTTCCTCTCAGGTGCTCATGGGACATATTCAAAAATAGACCACATATTGGGTCACAAGCAAAGTCTCCACAAATTCAAGAAGATTGAGATCATAAAAAGCATCTTCTCAGACCATGATGGCATAATGTTAGAAATAAACTACAATAAAAACAACCCAAAATACTCAAACACTTGGAAGCTGAATAGCATGTTATTAAATATTGATTGGGTTACCGATGACATCAAAGAAGAAATTAAAAACACCCTGGACACTAATGACAATGAAAACACAACAATCCAAAACCTCTGGGACACAATGAAAGCAGTCCTGAGAGGGAAGTTTATAGCTCTACAGGCCTATCTCAAAAAACAAGAAAAAATGGTAGTTAATCATATAACTCTACAACTCAAAGAATTAGAAAGAGAGCAACAAGAAAACCCCAGAGTTAACAGAAGGAAGGAGATATTAAAGATTAAAGCAGAAATCAATGACATAGAGACCAAAAAAACAATACAGAAAATCAATGAAACCAAGAGCTGGTTCTTTGAAAGGATAAACAAGATTGACAAACCACTCGCCAGGCTCACCAAGAAGCAAAGAGAAAGGTCCCAAATAAACCAAATCAGAAATGATAGAGGCGAAATAACAACAGACCCCACAGAAATACAAATGATTGTTAAACAATACTACGGACAACTCTACTCCAACAAACTAGACAACCTGGAGGAAATGGACAAATTCCTAGAAAAATACAACATTCCAAAACTCAATCAGGAAGAATCTAAAAACCTCAATAGGCCAATAACTATGGAAGAAATTGAAGCAGTCATCAGAAAGCTTCCAGCAAACAAAAGTCCAGGGCCAGACGGCTTCACAGGGGAGTTCTACCAAACATTCAAGGAAGAACTAAAACCTACCCTCCTCAGACTACTACAAAAAATTCAAGAGGAAGGAACACTTCCAAGCTCATTCTATGAAGCCAGCATCACCCTAATACCAAAACCAGGTAAAGACATCACAATGAAAGAGAATTACAGGCCAATATCCCTCATGAACATAGATG